TTACCGTTACCGTTACCGTTACCGTTTACGTTACCGTTTACGTCGTTCCTTCGTCTTCGTTCTCTTCTTCTTACTTCTCTACGTCTTCTTCTTCTCTCTCTCTCTCTCTCTCTCTCTCTCTCTCTCTCTCTCTCTCTCTCTCTCTCTCTCTCTCTCTCTCTCTCTCTCTCTCTCTCTCTCTCTCTCTTTCAATCTCTCTCTCGCTCTCTCTCTCTCTTTTTCTTTCTTTCTCTCGGATTGTCTATCTCTCTCACCCTCGCAATCTCTCTGTTTATTTATCTCCATTTCTACTACACGTCTTCTTCTTCTTCTTCTTCTTCTTCATCTGCTTCTTCGTCTTCTACTTCTTCTTCCCTGGCAAGGCAACTAACTGTACGACGACTGTCATGGCGTGATATATGTATGGCTAATGTGTTGTATTTCGTCAAACTTGTGCCCACAGATGGCGCTGGCCGTCCAATGTAGCGGAAGTGTTAGACAGCGGCACCGCGCGGCGAGAGGAGACACGTGGGGGCCGGTTACGGGACGAGTGTATCTGCCGACGGTTTATTAACTGCAAAATTGCTATGTAAATATCTTCGCCGCCGTCGAAATTGTTCGTCGGAAGCGCGAGAGTGAAAAGCTGTTTGCTTCGTTATTGCCTGAATCGTGTTTTTACTCTGTGGGGATGTCTGCCATATTAGCTTTGAAATTGTCCGCGCCGATGCGGAAGTGACCAATCACGAGGGCAGTGGGCAGCGCGAACAAACACGGGGACGCAGGGCGACTAGAGCGCCGTCCCGTCGCTTCCTCACAATGCGAAGTTTAATATGTAATCGAGTCGGGCCGATCGGCTTCCGAAACCACGGTGTGGTGGTGGCATCGTCACCGATGCGATGACTACAGATAGCTTCACGAGAATGCGGCGATTTTTTTTCTCTCTGCGATTCGGGCGGCAACTATGGAAATTCCCGGACGCGCCGCGACGTTGCTGGACGTGAATGGACGAGTGTTTGCTCGGCAGTTTCGCGAGATGGTTTTGTCGCGCGTTTTATGTGGCAGGGTGTAAACACTAGACGGTGATTTGTAGAACTGCCAGCGATGAGCGATTAGAACAATGGTGCTGGCGCAAATCGCATTCAACTATTATTGACACGATTACGGCGACTGCGAGCAGTGGATGGTCCGGATGGGCGGATGGATGGATGGATGGATGGATGGCCCGGATGGACGGACAGACGGTGGGTCGGGCGGACGGACGGACGGGCGGACGGAAGGATGGATGGATGGATGGATGGATGGATGGATGGATGGATGGATGGATGGATGGATGAATGAATGGATGGATGGATGGATGGACGGATGGATGAATGAATGGATGGATGGATGGATGGATGGATGGATGGATGGATGATCGCTCTTTATTCCCGGCAAACCTGATCGTCGAGTCCCGTCGCACTCACGGTCGATCTTTCCAAAGAAAAAACAACGGAATAATTGATAGGCACGCGGCTGCGTCGTGGTCGGCTGCTCTGACGTGTGGAGTTAGGGAGTCATTGTGTTTGAAGCGCTGTCTGCAATTTCTATCCGACGCACGCAGTTCCAGAAATGGACATTTAATCTGACAGTAGACATTTGGGTTCGTTGTAAATCAGCGTGCGCGACAGCGCGCACGCCCCCTCGTATGTTGTTAAACGTTTTACTTGCCCATGATTTCACCCTCATCGATGCCGGCTAAAAGGACCGCTGATTTAAGCACTGTTTGATTTGCTATGTGGCGAGCGAACAAGCAAGACGCTCTTTGACTGTAACGGCAAGCTCGTCTAATCAACACCGGCTTACTTTAATGTCATGCAAATGTGGCCATAATAACTGCTCGAAATACGTGCTGAATTTTAATTGTTTTTGAATCGGGTTTGGCTTCTATACTGCCATCGTAGATAGACTGCGTCACATACTTTACATGATTCATTAACATAGTAATTACACACTTCTTTAATGAAATATCGATAATCGTTTTAATGCTTGATAGATGACAATTTTTAATATGCGGGGATACTATTAAACGTGATGTTGTAAAGTGAAATTTTTTCATCAAATTTGCAAATCTGCTTTTTAACGCAAAAAAAGGTGGTAAAGCGACGCACTTATTGACTTCGATGACACTCACAGTATTGTGATCTACTACGAAGCATTTGCTATGTATTGTAATGAATTGGTTTCGCTCATCATACGTGTACTCTTGTGTGAGAGGCTCGTGTCGTATAGTGTATAATACCATGTGATGTTGTTCCCAGGTTCTGCTATGGCGCGGGTAATTATGTACCCTGAGGTAATCACAAAGTAGACAGACACGGAAGTATAACGTACAAACAAATGTCTATTTAATTGTTACACAAAACTTACAGAGACAAGTTATTAGTTACATATGGAATGCAAGATCTCTAAAAGGAGTTTACACACGCACATACAAGTACCAGTCTTAAGGAGTTTTAAGATATACGTTTTAAGACGCATACTGTAACACGAATACGGTAAGACCTAAACTATGAAACATATATACATACAAAAACTGTCATGCGCTGATCAAGCGCTTGACACTAATATACTCACAGATCGACTGGGTGGTTCTCTACCCTCTATCCCAAAACCCTCTGTATTTATTATTTTTTTCTATATCAATTAGCCTCCTTTGTGACGTGCGTATGGCTGTAGCCACGCCCGTTGACCGTACCAGCCACCGAGCGCTATCGCTATTTTCCACAGAGAGGGAGATTGATGTTTTGTCTTACCGGGCAGCCTACGTGCCTGAGCGTACCCGTACTGCCGAGTAATGGCTTTCTTACGATGTCAATCCGTGTGCTAGCCTACCTTGCATTTTGCTAATCTGCATTCTTAAGTAGGGCGTCTGCTTTCCTTGCTGTCGTCACTAGGACGCGCGTGGTTTACGTTCTTAATTATTTCTTTATAACGAATTCCGCTTCACTACAGTATTTTCTATATTTTAAATAGAGAGTCTTTAAAAAAAACTTCTTATAGTGACATGTAAATTACCGCACAGCGAGTATACAACTATACTAATAGTTCCACTATTTCCATATACTGTAATGCAAACGAGGAGGGGAGAGAGTGAGCGCGAGAGAGAGAAGTTGGGGGTTGAGTCAAAGCGAGAGGTACGGTAAGAAAGGCATATAAACATAGAAGAGAACATATGAGTGACGCAGAGATAACCAGGTAGACACCGATAGGGATAGAGGGCGAGAGAGAAGGGGAGAGAGCGAGAGAGAGAGCTACAGAGACAGAGCGAGAGAGAGAGAGCAAGAGAAAGAGCTCGAGAAAGAGAAAGAGCACGAGAACGAGAAATAGAAAGAGAAAGAGAACGAGAAAGAGTGAAAGAGAAATAATATAGCGAGAGAAATAGAAAGAGAGGGAGAGAGGGGGTGGGAGAGAGACAGAAATGTTGCAGATCAAATGGTGTTGCCGACACAAACGCTTTCACACCGCGCGCCTCCTACCTATTCACCCCAGCACGCGTCCTCACCGCACGCCTCCCACCTATTCACACCAGCAGTGCACGCGTCCTCACCGAACGATGCGGTTCAATGAACATAATTAGCAGAATACGTGCAATGCATGCTTCGACCAGCACCGCCCACGCGTATATCCATGTGGGTCTCATTATTGCTTAGATCGCTCTTTATTTCTCTCTCTCTCTCTCTCTTTCTCTCTCTCTCTCTCTCCTCTCTCTCTCTCTCTCTCGCTCTCTCTCTCTCTCTCTCTTCTTCTTTCTCTCGGATTGTCTATCTCTCTCACCTCGCAATCTCCTGTTTATTTATCTCCATTTCTACTACACTCTTCTTCTTCTTCTTCTTCTTCTTCATCTGCTTCTTCGTCTTCTACTTCTTCTTCCCTGGCAAGGCAACTAACTGTACGACGGCTGTCATGGGCGTGATATATGTATGGCTAATGTGTTGTATTTCGTCAAACTTGTGCCACAGATGGCGCTGGCGGGG